ATTAGCCACTGTGATGGAATACCTCCATTAAACAAGGTGTGCATCTCTGCATAGTTTACCAAAATTATTTTGTTGACTTGTCATTGACCTGTCTTGGAGTAATGTTTGTGTAGCCACTGAAAATAGACATTTTTTTCTTCTGTCATGCCAGCCCCCAAAACCGAGTGCAAAGAGTAAACACAACCTTTAGCAGCCATTCAGAGTTTAAAGCCCTCTATTCTGATTGCATAAAGTCTTTGGAGAGGGATTGAATGATCTAACAAGAAATGTGACAAGATGGTTATTGTGTAATTTAAACTGCCTGTCAAAGGGAAAAAAATCGAGCAGCAGTTCTCCCTCAGTTATTGGAGTCTGGAGATGTGATGGTAAAACGCTTTATCACCTGTTTGATGTCCAGATTCAAACAGGTGATTCATACATAGATCAAAGTGCACCTTGTGGTCACATAGCAAAAGACGGAAGTTTTACCTGAGGAAGTTTTTATCAGGAATTCTAGTACAGTTTTTTCATTCACTGTGATAACAGTATTTCTTGAATAGTTTCCAAAACTATTCAGTGTTGTGTGTCATGAATTGTGAGATAAAGGCACATTTCGCATAGATTTGATAAATCCACATGAAATAGGTTCAGGTGATTTTCTCTTATATGACATGAAATGTAATACATCACATTACCTATGCATGAAAAGATGAAACATCACATGGTTTCTGCATGGCCTCTGATAACACTGGGTGCAAGTTTTAATCATAAATGGACTACATTTAATATCACTTTATAATGCACGTCTTGGTCATAGACACACATACAGTATCCGTGTTTTTGTCACTTAGCAGGTCTTTACGTAGGCGTTTTTGTCACTTAGCAGGTCTTTACATAGGGTTACACTAACCTTAACCAAACCTTACTCTAATTTTAAACCACATTGTTTTTGTAAAATTCAACAATTTACTCTGGCAAATCCCCATCAAGTAGCACCTGCTCTAGCTGCCGATTTGGGTGACACGACCCTTTAAGCAATGTATTTAAATTACAGGTCTTCCTCAGGTAAAAGTTAGCGAGGCAGATCCTTTACACCAAATGATGCACACAACATGTGACCTTTGGATCTGACCTGGCAGAAACAAGTGATGCTGTTTCACACGCCCACTAGAGTTTATTTTCCTCCAGTTTCTCTCCCTTTTCCACCTGTCACTGTACATTCATGCAGTGCAGCAGCACAGCCTTGAGAAAAAGGTGATTTTTCACCTTGTGCTGAAGCGTGTTTGCATCACCATGTGGAGCAAATATGTATGTTTGTGCCCACGTGTCTTTCCACTGATTTGGTACTTCAGATAACTCCTAAAGTTCCTGTCACATTAAATCTGAAAATATATTTACACAGGCTCTGATCTGAGGTGCCATTCTTCCTGCTCAGAGATTATTCTAACATCACTTCACACTCATCTAGTGATAAGAACAACACAAAGAATTTGAAAGATTTCAAGTGTGTGTTACAAGATGTAAAATATGCTGCAGTGGTTGTTGCAGTGCTAATACAGGGACTGCTTTATTTATTTATGTATTTTTTTAGAAGACTGCCACCATGTTTGGAAAATCCTGAGTCTGGATCGATGCACTCTTACCCCAGAGCCTAGATTGGATGGCCAGTAATTGATTCATCTGAGAGCTCAAGGAGGGCCCCGTGCTGCAGACCCCTAGTTCTCCTCATGAATCCACAGGTAAGCACATACACACTTGATTTGCGTGGCATCTCAACTCCCTTTAATCATGTAATTCGCTTTGTGTCTAGACACCTAGATCCCCCACAGACTGATCTTGATAATGGATCTGAAGCTCTCTAACACCTGACCCTGAGTGTAAGTCTGTGTGAATGTGCAAATGGTCATTTGTCTGGCCTGGCCTGCACTGTCAACTCATCCACTCTCAGGAGGGGGAGTGCAAGCCATTTGCTCAAACAGACACTATACAGATGAAGCCATTGTTAAAAACCCACAGTTAACTGTGCTGCAGCAGCACTGCTGTATCTGCAGTAGCTGGTCAGAGAATTTGTTCTCTTTTCAGCCAGGGTAGTTTAATAGTTGCACATTTTCTTATAATAACGCTCTCTACTTTTGGTAAGTGGGACAAAACAGAAACAGGGAGGGAAAAAACCTCCCCAGCTGCAGAAATCTGAACTGTTCACGTGTGAGACATACACATTTAAACACAGAGATCATGTAGAGCCATGATGATTCTGATGGGCATTTTCATCATCAGACTGGTTTTCTAATCCAAACTCAGCTGTAGTGTACTGCACTTGTTGTCACGTAGGCCTAAACTATCTAATGTCAAACACTTGACTTTAACTGTACATTTTGCTAGTGTATATTAAAGTGTTAGAGCTACAGTCAGGGTGGCAGTAGTGCAGTGGTTAGTGCTCTGTGTTCGAGCCTTGGCTCTGCATGGAGTTTGCATGCTGTGCCTGTGTGGGGTCCCTGCAGCTTAGGTTGATTGGCAACTCTAAATTGCCTGTATGAATGAATGTGTGTATGATTGTTTGTATATAGCCTCTCGCCCAGTGTTAGCTGAGATTGGCTCCAAACCCCCCATACTCATGCTGTATTTATCTTACGTGTATAAATTCGTGTTACAGTCATGGGTAGCCCAGTGACTCATTGTGTTTGGTTGATACATCAGAGAGACTCAATCTACCCTGCTGCTATGCTCTGTCTTTTTAAAGGCAGAATGCGGCACTCTATATCCTGAATATCAATGGGCGAAATTAGTTGCACTGAAGTTCAAAGAGCAGAACAAATGTCAGACAGTAAAGGCCTAATAATCTGCTGTTAACAGCTCTGGATAATGCTTTCTCCCTGAGTTTGTGAAAATACCTGGTGTTTTTCTTTGGATGTCTTCAGCAGTCATTACCTGCTTTCAGCTGAGAGAGATTTTGTTCCAAACAAAGTCATTCTGTTCCTTCCTTCTGTTTGTTGTTGGCTGTTTGTGAGCCTGCCATTCAAAAACCTAGATAGTCCTGTGAGGCTGAAAAGGACATTCTGGGCAGATGCTTTTCATTTTCATTTATCTGCTTCCATCTTTTGGATCCAATCAGATCAGATTTCAGGCTGCAACAAACCGGTGTGCATGGTGTGAGCAGCAGCTGGCAGATCAGCGACTCTGCTGCTGAGCATCCATTGATTTCTGTGGGTTTTGTCCATCCTTCTGTAAAGATGCTCCTGTCACACACAGTCTCAGGAGCGATGCTGGCACCCTCAGTCTCCACCTTACTGCTGCAGGAGCCTCTGTGGAGCCTGATGGACTCCAGCCTGTCACAAGCTGTTTAGGAGGTGGTGGACGGTGCCAGCCTGTAATCAGCTGTAGGGTCTCCATTGTACATCAGACGCACTGATACAGACAGTCCAGTCAACTGCAATGGCAAGCAAAAGACAAGGAGCTGCTCCTGGGAATAAAGAACCAGTGTCAGTTAAGAGTACAAGCAAACCTGCAAATTCTTTTTACAGGGGAGCAGCTGTAGTTTCCTAGTTGTATCTTTTTTTGTCTTGATTTTTTTGAATAATTTGACTATAACTGTAAAAGTGCCTGTTTTGCATTTTCTTGTCTAATTCTCAGTAAATTTTAAGTGAATTTAGCTCATAAACCCTTCTTGGGTTTGGGTTGGAGCTTCTAGGAATAGATTCCTAGAAGCTCCAACATCAGCTGACAGA